GGGAGCCGGGCTGGGCGGGGGCTTTCCGCGGGGACTGCCGGCTGAGGTAAAGGCGGTGCGAAGCTGGGCTTAACCGGGACGGGGAGGCGGGCTCCGCTCCGGGCCCGCGGCCAAGCTGAGGGCTCCGGTCCGTTCGCTTACTCTGGAAGTGATTTTTCTTACGTTTATTTATAAACAAGCAGTTGGTGTCAGCTTTTTCCTGTCACTTTAATATATAAACACTCGCGTGGGGCTAAAGCCTAGGCTTGGTTTGGTTTTTTAAACGTTTGGAAGCAAACCCAGAAATGGTGGCCCTTCAGTGGCTCTTTTTTGGTGCTGGCGTCTCTGCTGCCAAAGGGAAGGTGAACCCGCTGAGGGCGTTGTTAGGATTCAGTCGCTGCTGAGAAATAGCGGCAGAAGAAGTAACAAAACACGCGATGAGGTTTTGTTCCAGAAGAGATTCTCCCAGGACTTCAGCCGAGAGCTCACACCTGCCTTCCCGACAGCAGAGCTCTTCGGGGGAAGGCTGTTGGCAGTTCTCTGTTTTGATAAAAAGGATACCCTAACTTGTCCTGACAGAAACTGTGGTTCAGAGAGATATGAATGTCATCTTACTGAGGTTTTTATGGAGCGTGTTTTCTGTCCGAGTAACTGCCAGACAGCTCCCGAGGCCTCAAACCTAATGCTAGTGATGTGTAGAAAAGTACTTTTTCCAGATTATTAAAAAAAAAGCAAAACAAAGCTTCAGTCTGTTTTTGACTGGCTTTAGAACAGGTTGTATAGTTCCCAAGCACTAATAAGTTACACTCCTAGTCAGTCGTAATAGAAATAAACGGGTTTGCCAAGTAAATAAAACTTACGTGATTATGCTGTCAGGTTTTCCTCTGTTCCCAGTAACTGTCGTGTTCACTTATGCCAAATGAGGTAAGAAGTGTAGAGATGTAAGAGATCTTACTTCTGCAGATTCTTGATTTGTGAAAACAATTGGATTTATAAAAGAGGAGACACGAGTAAGCGTCCCTTTTCCTGGAGAAGAAGCAGGAGGGTTATCCTGTCTGTGCAGCTGTTCAGGTGGGGAAGAGTCAGGGACTGTGTCCCATCAGTTGGAATACACAGCTCCTGACCAGTCGTGGTCTGGGATACGTGGGAGAGCATGCGAAGGCATGGTAAAGTGCTGGGGACCCAGGAGGAAGCCAGGTGCAATTGATTTTGCCCTTTTCCCACTAAAACATATTGGGGAAGAAGAGTCTAAATCCTTTCTATTTGGCTTATGATCCCGAAGGGTGGTTTCTCTTGGAGTTGGACCAGTTGTAAAGCCGTTTGCTGGATGTGCTTCTCACTTTGTCAGCCTTACCCAGGTACCATACTTTTAAAATTCTGTTACTTAAAAGCGACACTGCAACCAAAGCAAAGGTCTCCAGCTTTTTGGTGATGGGGCTGAACAATAATAATGAGAGCTGTATTACAAAACTCCAGTCTTGGTGCTTGGAGCCTTCTTCAAAAATCCTTTGTACAAGCCAATTCAGATGGGGCAAGCAGTTGGCTGGCCTTGAAGCTGTTGCAGCTACATCAACAAAAAGCCATTTGACAGAGAAAATGGAGATGGTGAGGCCAGACTCAAGGTTAGCTCAGCCCTGAAGGGAGCCAGTGGTCCAGGTGCTTTAAGGTAGCAGAAGAATGGCGATAAGAGCTTCCTGTGGACAAAAAGCCATTCTTGAAAATTAGGAACAAATCTTGTTGTTTTAGGGCTAGCACAAAACCAGTGGTTCAGATGGTTTCAGTGAGATGTACCATATTTATTGGGGGTCATTGAGGGTAAAAGTGTACCTTGTGTTTCTAACATTCGAGGTGGGAGTACGATGAATTTTTCACTACAGTTTTTAAAAATGTGAGCATACCTGCATGAATTGTTTACTTGACAAAATATTATTTGATACAAATTATTCTGAGGAGCACAAAAAAGGTATGGAACAGTTTGTCGCCACAATAAACTCCTGTTCTCACTTTCTGATCTGGGCATAAGCAATGTCACTGTGCTTCAGTTAAAATTGAGTTCTTGATTTTAGCTTAGTATTTTTAGTGATGCTACAAAGTAGGTGGAGGTGGAGTTCATGAGTTAAATACCTGAATACTTATATAGCGCTATAGTTAATTCCTATCCTTCTTAAGTTACTAGCGTGTTCCTGACTCTGTATTTCACCATTTAAATAAATGATACCACATATAAAGGCTTGATTTTACTTTGTATGACTGATGTAACTCTTTAGTATTAGGTTTTAATTAGTTGTTATAGTACCAAAGCTGATCCATTTATTTGGTATGGAAAAAAGAACTTGGCAGTTACCATAAATGATGACCTGGTCTTTTATTTCCTCTCCCTTCTCCCCTTTATGCCAGTGATGACATCTCCATTACTCTAAGAAGAAATAGGGTGGTCACCTGTATGTACGCTTCTATAGCAGCTGCGTGCCTAAAGAACAAAAAGATGCATGTCTGTTCTTCAAAGAGCTAAAAAGCAGTATGGTAAATTCCCTCCATCTATGTTTTTCTATTAATATTCACAATTACTGCAGCCATCACCAAGCAAAACATAATTTGATTCTAGTAAACACTATGTAGCATAATTGTCTTCACCAGAACCCATCTCTCTGTCTGGCAGTTGAGATCTTCACTGGAGGCTGTGTTTCTTTTGCTCCTTCTCCACCTTGAAGGATGCAGCATCCTCGCCTCTGACCGATTCCCTGGGTGGCTCCGGTTATCTGCTGTTTGACAAGAAACACACCTTTTTTCAGAATCCTCTTGACAGGATCTTGTGTCCTGTTCTGAAACTGGGGGGAGGAGAGCTTCTGCTTTGCTAATTTGAAGGCGGCTGCGTTTTTTCCTGTAAGAAGTATTTTGTGTTTAAATGATGTTAGTCATTATTAGTGTTTCAATTTTTTTTTTTTTTTTGAAGGATTGGGCTGCGGCCAATTCTATGAGGTTCAACAAGGCCAAGTGCTGGGTCCTGCACTTGGGTCACAACAACCCCATGCAATGCTACAGGTGTGGGGAAGAGTGTCTGGAAAGCTGCCCGGCAGAAGAGGACCTGGAGGTGTTGGTTGACAGCCGGCTGAATATGAGCCAGCAGTGTGCCTGGGTGGTCAAGAGGGCCAATGGCATCCTGGCTTGTATCCAGCAGAAGCAGGGCAGTGATTGTCCCCCTGTACTTGGCAGTGGTGAGGCCGCCCCTCGAATGCTGGGTTCAGTGTTGGGCCCCTCACTCCCAGAAGGACATTGAGGGGCTGGAGCGTGTCCAGAGAAGGGCAACAAAGCTGGTGAGGGGGCTGGAGCCCAAGGCTGATGGGGAGCAGCTGAGGGATCTGGGGGTGTTCACCCTGGAGAAGAGGAGGCTGAGGGGAGACCTTATTGCTCCCTACAACTGCCTGACAGGAGGGGGGAGCCGGGGGGGGGTGTCGGGCTCTGG